GGGGGGGGGGGGGGGGAGGGAGTGGCTGCTGCTGTATCTCTCTGTGGCAGTCTGTATAAATTTAACATCACTCCATTCTTGTTTCTCTGCATCTTAAATTAAATTCCTCATGGGGAGTTGGAGAGGGACGCGTCTAAATCTTGGAGCCAACTTAAATGTTGGGAACATAGAAACTATGACGCAAATAGGAAAAAGCTGAAAGGAGTTAGACTTAATTGCTAATTAGGTTCCAATGAGTAAGAAGAAAATTGTAACAAAAAATAATTGTAATCAGGAAATGCTTAGTTCCTAGAATGCAGTAGAATATCAAAGTCTGGTTTCAAAATCACTCAGGTAGAACTAGGCTAAGATTTCCCTGCAGTCATCTATGAAGAAAAAAGGAAACAACTTTACATTAAAAAGTACTATAGAAATGATGTAGCAGTAATAGGTTTTAAGATACATATACAGTTGGTTTTAATATATTTATACAGTAAGTATCATAACAACTGATTGCACTAAGATATTACTAAGGAAAAATCCTACTAGTTAATACAGAGAAAGGTCATAAAATAAGCTTTCAAAATAGTTTTGAAGCACTATTTTGAAGTATATATATATATATTTTAAAAAGGCTTAAACACTTAATCAAACATTTACAGTTGGAGATTTTTCTGAGGCTAATTAATCCAATGCGCCCAGGCAGAGACTCCATTTTAATCAATTCTTGCTGCTTAACCACATGAACATACTGCTCTTTCCTCTTAAAACATTATAAAGTAGGCTGGCCTAGGAAACTACTGACACATAGGTCTTCTGTATACCTGCTTTGCCCCCAAACAGAAGGTTTGCCCTGAAGCTTGTACTTCACACATAGTATGATCCCCAGTCAGAGCCTAAGGGTGATTATCACACAGCTCGATGACCTGGAGCAATAATTATGTGTTCTCTTATCAGCAAATAAGAAAGTACAGGGACATTCGAAGGGACATATGCACTCCTGTGTTCACAGTAGCTATACACAATAGCCAGGGCATGGAAGAAGGCTAATCGCCCTAGGACAGATAAGTAGGTAAAGAAAATGTGGTATATTGGAATCAAATGGAATATTATACAGTTATAAAAAAGAGGAACACTAGCCATTTGCTACAACATGGATGGAATTAAAGGGAATAATGATAAGTACAATAAGTGTGAAAGAAAAAGACAAATACTGAGTGATTTCACTCATATATAAACAAAGGAACAGAAAAAATTAAACTAATAGAAATATGGCCATGGAACTGAGGTTTTCAGAAGAAAGACTGGGGAGTGAGGAGAAAAAAGAGAGGCGATGAGGAAGATTTATGGGTGCCTTGGTAGTAGGTATGGTGTGCTCACATATATACAAAGAGGTGTGAATCTATTCCCCTAAATTATATATAGTGCTAGGCTAATATTGTCTTAGTAAAAACCAACACAATTAAAAAAATAAAACAAATGCCTAGCTGAACTCCCTGAGGCGGTGATCTTGAGGATTAAATGAAACACTGTAGTTGCAAGACCTTTCACAAGAACATACCAAAGGACAGGAAGCATAAATCACTAATAGGTACAAAGCAGTCAAGCTTGCTGCCTGTAGGCTTCCTGACCATCTCTTCAGGGACAACCAGCTATCTTCCTGGACTAGTCCAAGCTCATGAGCAGTTTTGTATTCACATGAGCCTGCCGTGAGCGCACAGCAGTAGAACCTGTTACTTCCTCCACTCACTCACATGCCCAGAGCTCTGCCCTCCAGTGCACACACAGATTGAATTCCTGCTCTTTTGAAACTGGCTCCGTGGTATTTCATGGGAGGGCTGGGCTGTCATTCTTTTTTTTTTAAAGATTTATTTATTTATTCAGGGGTACAGGCCAGAGGTGCAAGGGCAGGGAGAGGCTTCACCAGAGAGAGAGTGGGGAGCAGAACAGGCAGATCGAGAAAGTACACTGCTGAGGGGTGCAGCGGGCAGGTCAGGAGAAGTCTGCCGCGCCGTGTGGGTCACCTCCGGGGCCAGGGATTGAACTTGCACTGAAGTCGCTACAGCCAACTTGCAGTGCTGCGGTCTAACCCATTGCGCCACCTGGGAGGGCCCTGGACTGTCATTCTTAAGGCAGCCCTTGTCATGGATCATGGACATTCCGGGCTCCTCAGCATTTTTCTTTTACAGCTGTGATGCCATGAAGATCTGTGGGTAAGTCCACCTTTGTAGCATGGCTTTCTAAAATACCCAGGAGGTATGTGACACTGTTCTCCTCTCTTTTACAGAATTCTGTGTAAGGGTGATGTATCTTAGACTCTACACAAAAATACATGTAATGTTGAGTGTGTGCTTTGAATTCAGTCATTTCCATTAGAACACAGTACTGCATCAGGGACTTAATGGCAGGGTTGTACTTCTGAATACACATACAAATAGAAAAACTAAACAGAGTTATGTCACTCAGGCTTCAGTGATTTTAAAGGCTGTAGACATTTGCAGCATGTCTTCTAGTTTGGTAAGCCTTTCACAGATATCATCTGTTATAATATCTCTCATTTAATATTTAAAAGCATCACAAATTCATAAAATCTTAGAACTAGCAGGCATCTTACAGTTCCTCTAGTCTGTCTTTTCCAAAGTCTTTCTAAGGGTCAATGAACCAGGAGTGATCATAAATTGGGTCAAGGTGAAAACACATTCCTTGGCTAAGCTTGCATACTAGGAAGCTACACCCAGCACCACCGTGGGTGCAGCAGGAGAGCAGGTGGGCCCCTCACAGGGACCTGGCCCTCCGCATACCTGTAGGAGGGGGTGAGCTCGTGATCCAGCATGCAGCTTGTGCTTATAGCGCCACTCAGGGCATCCACCTGGAAGGCTTCCCCAAGGTTGCCAGAGAGAATGGAGTACTCGATGAGACCGTTCAGCCCACTGTCCAGGTCTGTGGCCAAAATCTGAGGAACCAATGCTTCTGTTAGACAAGGGTTAATTGGTAGTGGGGTGAAGCCTTTTATATTTAAAATTTTTTTCAGAGAAATGCATTATGAAAGAATCACAGATTGTTAAACCCATTTCATAAACACTGATCAAAGGAATACCAACAGCTGAAGCTTACTTATTTCTATAATAAAATGGTTAATGGGTAAAGAAGCTATTCTGCACTCATTCCAAGCATTTCCAAGGAAGTGGCAGTAGGAGTAGCACATGTTTGAGTTACAATCGTAGGCAAGAATAAAGAAATACTTGAGAAAGAAATCTGACTTGCTTAAATAGAAGACTCTGGTACCATCCAGCTGACTCATGGAAAGCGCCGGTTTGAACATTGTGGGTTCAATTATACGTTGATTTTTCCTATCTGAGGGCTCTGATTTAACCAACCTCAGGAGCTGATTGGTTGAACCCACAGATGGGGAGTCTTGGGTACAGGGGGCTGACTATAAGGCACGTGGCATCTATGACGATGTTTGTATGCCAGTGGAGGAGGGCCGTTCCTGTAACCAGCTCCCCAGGGACACCAAGTTTAATTGATGGAAGTCAACCAATTTTTTTTTTTTTAAGATTTATTTATTTGTGCATACAGAACTGGGTTACAGGCCAGAGGCTCAGGGGCTGTGAGAGGCTTCACCAGAGACAGAGTGGGGAACAGAACAGGCAGATCGACGAAGTACACTGCTAAGGGGAGCAGCGGGCGGGTCAGAAGAGGTCTGCCACCCCTGGGGCAGGCGGGAATCAAACTCATGCGGAAGCGGCTTTAGATTCTCAGTGCTGTGCTTTAACCTGCTGCACCACCAGGGAGGGCCAGAAGTCAAAAAATTTAAGTAAATTTTCAACTGGGCAGGGGTGGGCTTATGTAACCCCACATTTTTCAAGCATTAACTGCAAGTGGGTTCAGGCTAAAAGCAGGAAAGAAATCTTCCTACAGCGGACAGAGACTTTCATTTTTTTCCCCTGCTTAACGAATTGTTCTAAAAGAGGCCAAAATTTTTTTAAAATATTATATTGAAAGCCTCATTTTATTTTGTGTGTATATTAATTTTAATGATAAAAGGACACAGGACTAAAAAGCTGACCTTTTGCTTATATCGCACTATAAAGCTGACCAGTCTAGACATGGAACATAAATTATAAAACAAATCATTTTACTTTTGTTTCTATGACTTTTCTTTCCATTAGGTTTCTTTTTAACAGGAAGGGAGGATATTCACTGGGCAAAGAAAGTAAAGAGCAGCAAAATAGTGCCAAAGTAACACACCCAAACTGAGTGTAGAAAGGTGATACAGTAGCCACTTATCATCTTAGAGCAGCAGAAGAAAACTACTGCTAAATCATAATCATTTTAGTGGCATTTTGCTACTTAGTGGTCACTTTGCCACAGTAACTTTGCAACATAGTTTTTCATTTGTGAAGTGGTAAACTTCATGTCAAGAAGGAAAGAGTGGCGAAGGAAGTCAGTAAGTGGGTACTAACAGGTTGCCCCTCTAGTTCTTATAAACATGCCCATCAGCGCGAAATTGAGGAGTAACATCTAAGACTGAAGAGATGAAAATTTCACTTTTAAAAGCTCTATAAATAAATCAAACAAAACCTAGCTTTCGCGCTAATGAGTTTTGACTCCACCATTAATGGGCTGAGTTGTCAGGAAGTGTTGAGGACAAGAGTTTTGTGCCATTCTCCATGGATGTATATTACTTGATCTACATTACATTTAATTCTGTTAGTGTATTTAAGATCTTCTATAAGAACACGTTGACAGGTGAATTCGACTAATTTCTATCCTGTTTGTCCTGCAGCAAACACACCAAGGACACACTGATGCCCAGCGCGCTTTGCTTCCTCCTGCCCTTTCACAGATCCTGGACATGAAGGCCAGTGTGCTGGGGGCACCCTCACAGGCCTGCAGGGCCCCCAGGGTCTCAGCAGGAGGCACACAAACCGCTGATTGGGACAGAAAAGTAATGAGTGGTTTCCTGCGGAAGCACAGGAAGAGAATCCCAGGCACATCAGCGCAAAACCAGGGGCTGTGCCCTCCAAAGTGTTCCGGGGTGCAGACTTCCCTGAGGAGCATGAGGCAGGGTTAGGAGGGCGGTAACATGTGCCCATGGCAGCTTCACTGCTCCGGAAAGGAACCTGTCATCAGGTAGCGCCTGTGCAGGCCCAGCAGACAGCCAGGCAGAGCTGCTGTGAGCTGTTCCCATCCGCACAGATCAGCAATGATTCGCCTCGGCCCTGCTGTCCCAGGAGTCAGATCTGGGGGCCTGCAAGGCTGAGGCGGGGCAAGACTGGGGTCAGCCACCCCATGAGCCATAAGCCCACCGAGACTGAAGCCAGCAGAAGAGGGAGGTCCAGCCCGAAGGGGAGGTCCTGCCGGCTGCCGGTTGCCAGGAAGGTTTTATTCTGACTCCCTTTGCAGGTTTCCCCAGAGGTGCCCAGGTTCTTTTGGAAGACAAAGCAGCAACTCAATAGTGAAGGAAGGACAGCGCTGCACAAGACCGCTGTGTGCACGGATTCTCTTTCTCAGAGTTTTGTTTTCCCTGAGGTTGTGAAGCCGGCAAAGAACAGACCTATGCTTTTCACACAAAGCAACTGCAAATCTCAACCCAGTGGCTCTTCAGGGCAAGCTCCCGGCTTCAATGCCACCATCGAGCGCCTGTGGCCCTTCAAGGCCTGGTGCAAATGTCCTGTGACGTTTAGGCTCTTCCTGCAGGAAGAGTTCCCGTCTCCTCTCTGCTCTCATGGCCCTAGAGGCACAGTCCATCCACAAATCATAAGCATTTAAATGACAGTCTTACACTTTGGCTACTTCCTTAAATTGTCTGTTTATAAGGTGTGTGAATTTTTCTCTCCCTATGGATTCCCTCTTAGAGTTTAATCAGAGTTCCAGAGAAGTATGAAATGAAATGAAAAGACAGAAAGAATGGAAAGAAAGAGAGAAGAAAAAAGAAAGAGAGAGAGACAGAGAGAGAGAAGAGAGACAGATAAGAGAGAGAGAAAAGAAAGAAAGAAAGAAAGAAAGAAAGAAAGAAAGAAAGAAAGAAAGAAAGAAAGAAAGAAAGAAAGAAAGAAAGAAAGAAAGAAA